AAAATAATTCAAACCTATATTGAAAATAATGGAAGAAAATAACTTTTTATTACTTTTTTCTCTAATTGTGTATTTGTAATTTGTATTATGAAAACATTTTAGAAATTTATCTAAAGCTTATATTAGATAAATATTAATTAATTTTTTGTACCAAAAAAAAAATATATTAATTAATTCTATATTGACAAAACATTTTTATGTAAAATATTGGTGTCAAATATTTTTTTTGAAAGGATATTAATATAATATATTAAAATTTTGTTCAAAGAAATAGAGATATCTGATTTGAGTTTAAAACTAAAAAGAAAGAATAATAATTATAGTATCAATCAATATTTAAGTAAAAAATGTGAGAAATGTACGAATCATAGATATATATCAACTTATGGTGCTTCATAGTTTTGTTTGTCGATTTCTGGTGCCTCATAATTCATAGTTTTATTTGTCAATTTCTGGTGCCTCATAATTCAATGTGCACTTTTTTGTATTTCGAAGTAGTTTATTTAGATTTTGATTTATATAATTATAATTATAGGCATATATATATATAAAGTAATAAATTTTGTATTTTTGTATCAACTTTTTTTAAATATATAAAATTAATCATGCGGATGATTTTTATTTGACATTCATTACCTAGAAGGCTACAGTGATGATTGCTATTATTATTTTTGGTGATGATTGCTATTATATGCCGCGGTAATCAACGCCAATGAGGTCATGTTGTAGCCACGGTCTAACTTCTAATAGGGGATCGGTGACAACTACTAGGGCCATGATGGCCGAGATCCGCCAAATAGTCCGCTGCAAAGTTAGTTTCGTAAAAACAATGAGTCACAGTAACTTCCCATTCTCGTACAAGAAGTTCCCGGATGGCCCGAACCAAAGCCCGGATGGCCCGAACCAAAGTACCATGCACTCCAAGCTCCGATGAGTCCCCTTTTTGATTTTATTATTTAAATCAAAAAAAAAAAATTAACTGGACAAAAATAAAAAAAAAAGGCTGTCGACCAACATAAAACAGACGTATACTGAGAATACGTTTTCAATTGTAAAACGTATTCTCAGAATACGTTTCTAAAGGAAAACGTATTATCATGTCACGTTTTATAACGAAATAAATTTTTAAACATGATTAACTTAATTAAATCGCGATTAAGAAAATTAATGTAAAATAAAACGTACTTTCATAATACGTTTTATAAGAAACGTATTTTCAAAAAACGCTTTAAATTCAAAAACGTATTTTTAATATACTTTTTTTTAATAAATTTTATATACTATAAATTAAAAAAAAATTAGTAAAATTTATGATTTTTTTTTTTTAATTGAAAACGTATTTTCAGAATACGGTTTCCTCCCGAAAACCGTATTATGACAATACGTTTTCAGTTAAAAAAAAATAAAAAATACTCCCAGACTCACACGACATAACCACACGGGTCGTGTAACGTCACACGACCCGTGTCACATGACACACGACCCGTGTGAAAAAGTCGTAGCTAAAAAAATCATTCTCTTAAAGCCACACGACTCGTGTCACCTACTCACACGAGTCGTGTGACCCATCTGCAGCTCGATTTTGTCATTTTTCGGTCCTTTAACACTTTTCTATGCATATTCCAAACAACCAACAATTTTACTGTATAGAAATAGCAATTTTACAACAGAAATAAAATAGAACACCTGTTTGTCGAAATCAATTCCACAACCAAATATTCAACAACCAAATATTCAACAAAAATATATCAATTCCACAAATAAAATTGAAGCACAATAATTTATTCAAAATACCAATATGTTTTAATTTAATTACACAAAGAGTCAAGAAAAAAAAATGTCCATAAATTTCCTAATAGTTGTTAGGAGTGAATTGATCCGGAGGTCTGCGCTCCCGGGAGCCCTTCCGACGCTGGTACGTCTGTAAAGAAGATGAGGCTGTGGCAGCTTCTTCTGTATCTGTGGGCGTGGCAG